GTGGAAAACAAAGGGTGGAACGACAAGAAGAGAAAGAGAGAGTGAGTGAGCGGAAGAGAGAAAGAGAGAGACAGAGAGATACAGTTTGCGAAGACAGATGAGCAAGGCAGACAAATGGCCAGAAATGGACGAAACAGAAAGGAACAGATGAGCAAGTGAGACGTGTAAGAGCAATGGCTGAGCGGCAGACAGAGGGCAAGGGTAAAAGTTATGGGATCGAAAGAAGCTTCGTTGAGATTAGTGTTACGCCCGCGATGGTCGCCACATCGGCACGCTGGTTCATGTAAACGTCTTATCTCCATTTACGCGTGGACGCGAGGTCACTTTCGTCGCGGACACACGTTTCGACGCAACGCCGTTTGATTAACTTGGTTTTCTAATTTCAAAATGAAAATCTATGATAAAGAAATAATATGGAAAATAATATTGAGAACGATGTACAGGTAACCCCAGCGATATTTTCAATGAAAGAAGCACAAAATTCAAGAGAGAACATTGCCAACGCGTTGATTTGTACAAGGAGAAATAGCAGGTTTGTTTATACAGTTGACGCATAAACTATGAAATTGTTATCAAAGAGACTGGTCTTTTCACCCCTTGCTGTATTATTTTGCTGTTGATTGCGACTTCAAGAATTAATAATTCTCCGACAGAGAAAGAAATTTATAAGAAGTTTACTATACATAAAACACTATTTCCTACAAACTATGTGGAGGTTACCTGTAGTATAGTAATAACAATGAAATCAAAAAGAAATACCGAGGAAAAAGGAACAAACCCGAAGTCTACTAAAGCGTGCAAAGATAATTATTCCGTTAATGCGAAGGATGTCTTTATGGTTTAACTCGTAAGCCAATTGAAACGAACAGTAAGCGTATAATACTATCGGACGAATATCCGTCCGAATAACCGTGCGCAGAAACGTCCGGCGAGGCTTTATTTTGGCCTTCTTCGTCCATGATGGACCGCGGATTTTCATTTAGAATTCGAATCCAACATGAAGGATGCTTGACCCCGAAAAGTTTGCCCGCAACTACCTCCAATCAACCGGTTCGATTTAGATCAGCCGATACCGGAGCCACGGATGCGTTCATTTTCGAAACGTTTCCTATTAATTGCTCCGGCGTACGTGTGTGTACCACATCGTATGCGTGCAGGGTCAACCGCGCCGCGGTTCCCTCGCATATCGTTTGCAATCGATACGCTCTCGTTACCCCTACCCGATATTAACAATGACATTTTACCCCGTTCCGCGACCGCGCAATTAATCCTAAATTACGATCGATTTAATGGACTGCCGATTTAAATATACCATGGGAAAATTCGACGGGTTTCAATCCCGCATGTGGGGTCGGCAATCAGGGCAACAATGGCGTCCGCGTATCATAAGGCAGTTAATCCTATTTCCGAATTAATTGGCAAATTGTCTTTTCCTCGGTTCTTTTCGTTTGGTAATCTCAATTACAGCGAAATGGAGTTTCCTTTTGTCGATTCGTGGCAAGGAGTTCGGTTTATATAGTCGATCGAGAATTTCACGTGTGTTTCGAGCTCGTAGGCGGAAGGAAAAAAGTAATTGATATCGATTAATCGATCGAAACGATATTACAGCGTTTCGCGTCGCAAAGCCTTGATGCCTCGGAAGAAAAATTCCGCAACAGCGGGGCTTGTTTGTTATTGATAGTTGAAGGCACGCAATCTGGTATTGAGCGCGGAGGTAAGAATTCCAGGGTCGGTTTAACGACGTAACTTTTCCCATACATCAACCTCTCATTATCTTGTCCTACTTCGGTAAATTGAGTTTTTCAACATTTTTGCAGCGGCAAGCTGTGCGTATTTACGTGGTAGCCCCGTCGTGTTTTAAAAAAACCGAGCGAGACCGTGGGTATATTAAGGGAAACGGTTCTACGATGTTTTTTTCCGACGCTTGTTAAACTTCGATGAACATCAGTAAACAGGGTATAACACCCATTAGACATAAGAAAATTGAATGTCTCTAACATTTTTAGAGTTTTATTAATTTCAACTACTTTCAGGGATTAATGATTTTCTGTGTAAACTGCTTTAATACTAACCACGTAATAAAAGTGATATATAAATGAAAATCTTAAATGACGCTCATTCTGGATTTCAGATATTTCTCTATCAAATCTGTTTAGAACGAAAAAAATTCAGAGGTTTGCGTAAATATTTACAAACAAGCAAACCATTTCTACAATTTCGTGCCAATTCATTTATGAACCTGGTTCATGTATTACAATCAACGAATCACGGCGAGTGAATCAAACTACATTTCATCGGTACAATTCACAAGACTTCGCGCAACCGCGAGCGCTGTTCTATTTTTGTGGAAAATATTCAATCGCGAAACCTGTTATTAAACTCCGTTCTTGGAACGCGTATAAATTCCACGAACTCGTAATGTAACTGATAACGGACAACAGAGAAAAATCAACAAATAAACAAACAATCCGTTCGAAACAGCGGTTTGTGCGTCATCCCGTGAAACCGGATGCTCCGTCAGTCGCAATCGATCTCCGGTCGCAAGCGTCGGTCGGTTACGGAACGGGGTAGAAAGTCTGCCGAGTAACCTCCTTAACTCTTTCATAAAACTTAAACCGACGAGATTATACCGATACAATAATTTATAATGACTTTATACATCATTCGTGTTCGTATCGTGCGAACCGCTCGCTAGCAATCGAAGCTTCCTCGCGAGGAAGCTCAACGGATGCGCCGAATTCCGGGGAGAACGCGAATTTGCTCGACCATGTGCAGTGTCCCTCACGGGGAACACGAGACGCAGGATGTTGTCCCGCAATGGAATCGATTAACGGACTTATCGCCGAGTGCTCAACGTCGGCGTGGCTCCGTGGCGAAGAACAGAATTCAAATTGATTCGACTCGCCCTCGCGCTGATCGAAAGCGTTCCCAGATACGAGCGAATCAACACGTAAAACACGGTCTTCGATATCGTTCGATTCACGATGGAGGATGGCGAAGTTAGCACACATTCATAAACGCATACACACATATGCGCACACATGTAGACACAAACGAAGACATGCACACGTGGCAATCCCGAAGGACAGAATGCATCATAGAAAGTTGTTCGTCGCGCGTCGCGATGGGGTCTCGACGTTTCTTTGACGCGAGAAGCCTTGGTTCTTCGATCGGGCGGAAACGAAAAACGCTTCGCAGGAGAACCGTACACGCGCGCGATCTAAGACGCTCCCCTTTTTTACCATCGGAGCCGGCCCCAAGCTAGTGACAAGCCGATATCAAGCCGATCACCGGTTTAGCTCGACCCGACACCCACGCGTGCAATGGTCGATCGCGGTTGATCGACGGCAATGATTTTTTGTTTGGTTTGTCTTTTCGTTTGCGGTCGTCGGCAGGCGACAGCGTAGATAGAGCACAGTTAGCGGTGTAGCTGAGCGGGTTAGAGTGTGCGCAAATAGCTCGCGTCCGAGTAGTATATCTGGGTTGTAATTTTATTAATCGTATGATAAGTTAGTTCACAGAGGCATGGCATTGTAGAGGTCCAAGTTGGGATGGTAAAACAGCGGTGTCGGTGTTGGGGGATTATGATGGGGGGCAGGCTGCGCCTGTATGAGGTTCAAGTTCAGGTTGAGGGGCGCGATGTGGCCCGCGTTATGGTGGTTAAGGTGGTTAAGGCTAAGGTGGTTACCTGTCGGGTAGGGCAGTCCGAAACTAGGGTACCCAGAATAGCTACGGCCTGCCGCGTATGCCGCGTACGCCGCTGGGAAACCTGCGAACAGACCGGAAACAACTTGTTAAATTTAGTTCTTGGATTGTTTAACCGAGGAACTTTCACTACCACAGTTACGAGGATAACCCATCCTCGCAAACTACCGCGGGCTTCACGACTGCGTTAGTTACCTCGCGAGATTATCGCTAGTTGTTAGGATTACCGTACCGGTGCAACCAGTGCTTCATAATTTTTGACGTACTGATGGGCAAAGTCTCGTTTAGGAAAACATTAATATTTATTTGATGTTTGCACTAAGCCGTTAACGATTTCTAGTAGCAAAGATTATGATACACCATTTATAGTAATTCTTACGCTTTCTTTAGATTATACTTGAAGCTGCGGAAAAAAATAGGTTAATTTGTTCATGTATTTTATGTGTCATTTTATGTGGTATTGAGATTTTATCCGCCGGGAATATAATCGATAAACTGTCTGATAGGAGAGTTATTGTACAATTTAGTTAAAAATTTATAGCTGTCAATCATTGATTTTTCGAAAAGATTTAAATATCCGCGGAGGGATAAAGTGTTAAAATTGAATTCTTCGAAGACATTTTTTGGGTTTGATACTGAGATTCAATGACCAGATAAGTGTTAAGCTTTTATAATGTTTCAAAAATTTCCGTTCATCATACTTTATTTCATTTCATTTTTCTTCGTGTAAAATACATAAAATATAACTAATGAGCCATAAACATCATCTCTTTTTATTTCCAAAAGTTATTCATCCTTGAGGAGCTGAATTGACTAATTCAATGACCTGTTATCAAGGGAAATTATCTATTTCATTGATTATCTATTACGATATGATTATCAAGTTTAATATTATGTCACCTTAAAAGGATCACAAGCAGATATTACAGGTATACTGCAAAGAACTTTTGAACGAGTAAAATGTTGCATCGTAAAAGACCCTGAGTCAAGTATGCGATAAAGTTATTGCACAAATGATATGCGCACTTGATAACAATCGCGTGCTCGTTTCCCATTATTTTAATTTAATTTCAAGCTGATTTGAATTTTTCATGCAACTGACATATTTCCTCCCCTGCGTTGTGCAATGTCAAAAGAACTCATCGCGAGTTGTGTATCGGCTAATTACGTTAATGAATGAATGAATCCGCATATAGAGACCGGCGGGAGAGGCGGTGGATATGAAATGTTATACGCTTCTCGAATGAAACGGCAACGTGGGTGTATGGTGCGTATATTTGCGCGCACGGGCGCACGTAAATCATGCATGAATCCACTGACTCGTATTAAGTGTGCGTGTAACAAATTGTATAGAATTTCCGGCTCCCTTATGATTGATCGGTCCGTGAATATTACATCGATGGTCTTACGTCAAACGTGATTGGACGTTGTTATAAAGAGGCGGACATGTCACTGGACATTGGAGACGTTCGGTTGTACATGTTCGTAAATATTTCATACTCACCATCAGGTAATGCTCCCAGGGACCACATAAAATCTATAACGAAAAACAAATCACATTAATGCCGGGTTCAGATCGATTAATATATTAAAAATTTCTGTTTTTCTTTT